GGTTCTCCTTCAGCCTCCGTGGCAGCGGGCGGCGCGGCTCCCCCTGAAGGGGCAATGTCTAACGGGGTTTACGCCCTGCCGAGCGCGGCCAACGGAGAAGTGAAGCCCGTAGTGTCCAGCACGCCTCTGGTGGACTTCTTGATGCAGCTGGAGGATTACACCCCTACGGTGGGCTTCCCGCCTGAATAAGGCCTCCTGGCTCTCTGCCGTGCCTTTCAATTACACCTTCGTGCTTTCAAGCGTCCTCTTTGCTACGCTACTAGCTCCTTTTATTCCTCCTTCCCGTCATGGGTCATGGCTAAGACTGACCGCTGTTTAATTTGATTTCTCAGATCCCAGATGCAGTGACTGGTTATTACCTGAACCGTGCTGGCTTTGAAGCTTCAGACCCACGCATGTGAGTAAACTCAGGGCAAGTTAGATTGTTGAGCACTGGGTGGTTTGTTACATATCTCATTACTCCCCTCCCCACTTTCCTCTCTAGAATCCGGCTCATCTCACTAGCTGCCCAGAAATTCATCTCAGATATTGCTAATGATGCCCTACAGCACTGCAAAATGAAGGGCACAGCCTCTGGCAGCTCCCGGAGCAAGAGCAAGGTGTGAAAGGAGGCTCACCTTCCATAGCAGTATAGGCTAATTTATCCTGAAACCCCTTTGGGAAGCAGCATCCTAGGGGAGGTGTTGGGTCTGCTCAGAGTCACTCAGAAGGGACTGGAATCTGGGATTACTGTGCTCAGCTGGTGATCTTCCCTCTTCCCATAGGACCGCAAGTACACCCTAACTATGGAGGACTTGACCCCTGCCCTCAGTGAATATGGCATCAATGTGAAGAAGCCGCACTACTTCACCTGAGCCACCTAACCCAGTTGTATTTGTCTTTTCCTCTGTCCCCACAACAGCCTGTTTTCATAATAAACTTTATTGTGACAGGCAGGGCTTATCCCTCCCATGTTGGGAGACATCATGTGGCAAGTGACAAAGCTCTGAGCCCAGCCCCTTTTGGGGCTACAGTGGTAGCGATGAGCCCCATAACTGGGGTAGTACCATGATTGGAGACAGGGAAGGCCAACCAGAGGCCTTCAGCTTTGGGGAAGTGCACTCCCCTAACCATGTTTTGACACCTCTGGAGTCTGGACAAGAACCTTCCAGTCCTATTTGTCTTGCATCTTCTCCAGTATAGGCACAATCATGTCAAACTTGGGTCGCTTTGCAGGGTCTTCATTCATGCAAATCTTCATGAGCTTACACACGTGAGGGGAAATACCTGGTGGGATGGTAGGCCGAAGGCCTTCCAGTGCCACCTGCAGATTAAGGAATAAGGTGAGCTTCAGAATTGAGTTGATCACATGGTAAAAACTTTTGACCCTTCAATGGGCTTATCTGTACAAACCGAGAGGAGTACAAGTATCGGCAGTTCTGTGCTCACCTTCATTCCAATCTCCATATTCGAGAGGTCAGCAAAGGGCACCTCTCGTGTCACCAGTTCCCACAGAAGCACTGCAAAACTCCACATGTCTGCTGAGCGTCTGTTTGTGTCTTCAGGCTTCTTCTGCAGGGCTAGAAGGAATAGGGGTTAGTGTTCCAGCTATCTAACCTGTCTGTCTCTGCCTCTTCTACTGTTACTGAGATGGTTCTTGTCAATTTCCCAACATGATGCCCTCACCTACCTTCAGGGGCCACCCAGGCAGGTGCATACATGCGCCCAGGGCACTGGAAAGAGAACTTGACATCAGCCATGCTGATTCGAGCAGTCATGTCTTCATCGATCTGAGGAAGAGAAGTTCAAAAAAGTGGGTCCTATTGTAGGCAAGCAGAGGGCTTCAGGGCCCAGTAGTAAACTTGTGACCTCACCATTACGCTACGGCTATTTAGTGCATGGCGAGGTATGAGAGGCTCCAGTGTGTGGAGAAAAGCCATGCCTCTTGCCATGTCCAAAGCAAACTTCACAGCTTGGCTCTGGTCCACAACGAAATCTAACAGGAAACAAGAATCAATAATTTAGAATCTATCCCTATTCTAGTCCCTTCCCAACAAGGCCAGCATCCTTACTGGTGCCTTCATGTAGTACATTGTAGAGAGATCCATATGGCATCCAGTGTGTGATAAGAGTTGGGTGGGGAGCTGGTGGAGCCTGGCAAGCACCTAGCACTGGAAGTACGTTTGGATGTGAGAAAATCCTGGGGGAGAGAGAGTGGTGAGACCCAACAGAATTTCCCTCGTCAGTACTATTTGGGGTTCAACAACAGCTTCCACTTCAACTCTCCCACCTGAGCCGGGGACACTCCTCATTGAAGTCCCTGCTTTTCCTTGTACTCCAGTCTCGAACCTTCAGCACCTTCACAACAATGTCATTGCCCTGCCAGCGGCCTTTCCATAGCTAAAGGACAGACAGGTAGAGGTTAGGAGGCATTAGCTCAGGTTATACTATTTCCTTTCCATTAACTGGGGAAAAAAAAAAAAAACCTTAGCAAGACAGAGTGGCAGTTTGTATTAGAGAGGGAGGAGCAAGAAGGGCAAGGATCACCTCTCCAGAATGATTCTCATTGAGCTTTGCCAGAAAGTTGAGCTGTTTGAAGTCAATACCGGAGTGTTTGTTGAGGGTCCCGTTTCCTGAGAATATGAGCAGGTCAGGTATCAGCTTCACCCTAACCCACCCCCATAGCCCAGGATCCTGCATTACAACCCCTCCTCCCACAGTAGTGACTCACTGGGCCGAGTGCGAGTGGTCCCCTTCCAGAATGTATCCTTGTATGGAATACGGTTGAGATTCTGGCCCATCTTCTCTGCCCGTTCTGCGGAAGAAAAACAGTCTTAGCCTTAAGTGTAGTATAGAAGGAAGAGATACAGGATGGGACAAGAGAACACAAGCTAGGGGTAGGGAATGGACCTCGGAGAAGCTCTCTAAGGGGTGCCTTGGCTTTGTCAACAGGCATCTCTCCATACTTGTTACAGATGCTTACAAGAGCCCCGTTAGCCACCAGGTCCTGAAAGAAAAGATAATTATTCAGGGGGCCTCTGTTATTGTCAGTCACAAGCAAGCATGAACACAGATGCAATGCACAATCCTGTGAGAGTCACACAGTAGGAATGACTGATGGGTTGATGGTTCCATGCTCAATTTGTTTCCCACTCATCCTAGGATTTGGGGTCTGAGTACTTACCTCTGCCACCTGGTCTTGACCCCAGAAACAGGCATAGTGAAGGGGCACATTCCCGTGCTCATTCACTGCATTGATGTCAGCCTTGTACTGCAACAGCTGCACCCCATGGCCAAGAAAAAAAGACAGTCCCAAATGAGATGTTTGTCTAGGCATGAGGAAGGGGAGAACAGTACACATGCTCCATAGGACAGTGCCTGTTACTGACTTCACACTGCATGTGAGATATGGGTGGTGAACGGTTTGCCCATACCTTCTGTACAATGTCACGGTGTCCATGACTGGCCGCCAGATGCAGGGGGGTATCATCTCCACGGTTCATCACATTGATCCGTGCTCCCCGCATTATCAGCATCTCAACCACTGCAGAGCGGCCTTCTCGGCAGGCCCAGTGCAAGGGCGAAAAGCCATGATCGTCCCTTTAAGAAAAAGGCATAGAGGGGGCTGGAGAGATGGCTCAGTGGTTAAGAGCATTGCCTGCTCTTCCAGAGGTCCTGAGTTCAATTCCCGGCAACCACATGGTGGCTCACAACCATCTGTAATAAGGTCTGGTGCCCTCTTCTGGCCTGCAGACATTCACACAGACAGAATATTATATACATAATAAATAAATAAATAAAAGAAAAAAAAAAGAAAAAGGCATAGACACTTAAGCTGGAGTTGGGGAGTTAGAGTTTTGATGGGAGGTTGGTTCTATATTCACTGAGAAGGCTTGCCTCTCTAATGCTTAGTTCTTATTCACAAAGTTCTATTCAGATTTTCCCTTGAGCTTCACACCCAAACAATCACTTAGATGTCTGTACAACTGTAAGGTTTATTACTTTAATGACTACATCCTAAAACCCTTCCTCTAGCAGTTCTTCATTAGGTGATAATACTCTTCATGGGGTCCTTTGGCTTCTGCTGCCTTTTCCTCCCCTTAAGGACAGTGCCAGAAATCAAACCCAGGACTTTGTACATACTTGGCACATGCTATATACTAAGCTTTATCTCCAGTCATATATCTTTAGCAACACCTGCAATCCTTTGTTTCCACTGTTTGTGCATCTTGCTGCAGAGTTACACTGACAACTGTAAGAATCTGTTAATATACGCTGTCTTGCCTGGTAGATCATGTTTGAGGACAGTCTGACAGCTGATGTTCTCTGCAGGTTAACTGGAGAGGGGCATATTGGAGAAGGCTGGCCATAACTTAGGAGAGGAAACAAGCTTTACTATTTGGCTCTGGTATTGAAACTAACATCTAAAAATGGAATGGAATTAAAATGTTTCGGAGGGATATAACAACAAGGAAACATGCTTTTTGATTACTGATGAGGCAGACAGCCACACAAAACAGGATTTTTCGACTTCCAACCCAGAACACACAAAAGAAAACATTAATGGAAGCTTTAGAATAAAAGGTATATCTGGTTTGTATTTTTATTCCCTAGGAATAAAAGACGTGTACAAACAAAACAATTGGGTGGGCTGGGTCACACTGACAGCCTGGAGCCATAAAAGGAAATTCCCTCCAGTCCAGGGATGCAGATCTAAGAGGCGGAACAGGGGGCGGTCTGTGGTCTAGGCCTGCAGCCTCCAGATGCCTTAGTGCTGTGGTCACTTCCTGTGAGGGGGCCGGAGGTGGAGTCTTGAGCTGATCCAGGCTTGGTCACCCAGAATCCCCCAACAGCTGAAGGAAGTTATGTAGCTTTAAAAAACACTCCAGTTTGTTCCTCCAGTTTGCCCTCATCTGCTAACACTATTAGCAAAGCTTTCCCAGGATATGAGCATATCTGTTGCTATCAGTCTTGTTTCCCAGACTTTTCACATGTTCTGATCCAACAGCCTCCAGCAGTTTGTGGCCTCAGAATAAGCCTAAACCTGAGGACAAAAATAAATGCTCAGGGTTTTGCCTACTGTCACCCTAGGGCCTAGATTTCTATCTCAAGAAAGCCTGTAGGGAGTTAACCACCTCCAGCACCACACCCTATCCCCTCACGCCACCAAATCTTTCTGGTTTCCCTAACGACACCCTTTCACCTTTTGACAGCAAGGAATCTTCAAAAATACCACTCCCACTGGACAACAGCCTAAACTTCTGTTTCCTTACCAACAAAACAGATGTCAGAGCTTAGTGTCTGCCAGAGAGAGCATACAAATGAAACAAGTAACTTTGAATATTACAGAGAAATAACATAGCCTACAGGGAACTGGTAAAACCTGGTCTAGGATGACAGATGATCCTTTGCAACCTAAAAAGTTCACTCTTAAAGTCACACATGGTGGCAGCAAACTGAAAACCCAGCACTAGGAAGCTGAGGCAGTAGGCTGGAGAGCTGGAGGCCACTCTGAACTAACTACATGACACCCTGTCTCCAAAAGTAAACCAAAGCTACCTACCAAACTTTCCCAATACTGCTTTTCTTGCTTTTTTTTTTTAATCAGCCAGTGTTTTAGAAAGTGCTCATATTTTTTCCGTTTCCTCACTTCTCGTTGACTTTTCTACCTGCCATTGTAGGGTAGAGATTGTCTGATTTAAGGGCTCTAGCACCCACCACAGGTGGTGGTCCTTATTTGAAGGAACCCAGTACAATGCAGTTTCCTGTTACTTTTCTGCAATAGCATTCACAAACAAATATATCCTAAATGTAAGTTAATGAGGCCTTTTAGACAGTCATTCATATTCTTTAACTTCTCAGGAGCCTCTGCTACTATTGATCGCTCTCCTTTGATTAAACCATTCTCTAATCTTAATCCATTTTCTTATTTCTCCTCCAGATGGTTGCTCC